CTGATCGTACATAGACCGGTGATCCGGTGTGTTTACTCCAGCTAATACCACGGCCGTCGGGATTTGTCTCTGTTTTATCCGGTCGGATGAAGCAACTGATCCACCAAATTCATCGGATTGCCATTGCTCATGCGTTGTTTGGACAAAAGAGTCCAATTGGGCAAATATGTTTTGATCCAGTCGGTGTTGCTGGTTCTTGAAAAACAAAATACGTGCACGGTAAAAAAAAGTTTCAGAAAATCGACTTATACACTCACCTCAATTCTGCCTTTTAAGGTGCTCCAAGCCTGAGAGAAAAGCTCATAACCGGGATGAGAACACCTTTGAGCTGTATTATGACAGTTATTACTTGTATTGCAACAACATACCCGAAGAATTGCCATGAGATACCAGTATTTTCATATTAAATGAGCAGCTGGAAGAAAACGACAAAAATGAGGGCAGGAAATATCAAATCACGTGTGATGTTGGTTAGGCAGCTTAGGTTATTGCTCATCTCCCTCCCCCACCCCACCCGCGCACATATATATGCTTCTACCGCTGGTGCCCATCACGACGAGACTGCACCTTGACGCGGTGTGATGGCTTGCGTGCCTCCATGACCCTGCGGGCTACACAGGATGGCTTTTCACAGCCGGAGATCCAATCATGCCTGAAAGGTTAACGGGTAGAGGCCAGACGACGCTTAGTCTCACAAGCCAGCTGCTTGGGTACCCCCTGGCTTCTTTCTTCTATCCACACCCGCCCCTGGAGAGGTCACTCCAGTAAAAAAAACACGGTGAGGAGCAGTTTACCGGTCAAAATGGGCAACCAAAGACAGCAACCAAAACCGGCGCACGAAAGTGCATGGTTAATGGTTGTAAAAACGGAAACGGAAACAAAGCCGTTGGCGCACTTTGAGAGCAGTAGATCTGCTTCGATCAGTGGCACATTTACACTACAGGAGTATTACACAGATAACAAGGATCAAGTTGTGAGTTTCCACAACGGAGCACTAAGTTTTCGTGCCTTTTCCCCTGCTTTACACACATTGGTGTGATAATAACCGGTTTGGGGAAACCGGCTATCTAAGTTAACAAGATAATGAAAGGAGGCTGTTGAGCCGGGTTGTCGTAAAGCTTTCAACCACCATCAATATGCGATTTATTCCTTCCGTTGTGAAGTGAAAAACTGTCGACAAAAAGTGTCACTCTGTGAGTAGCTACAAATAAGGAGCAATATGAATAACGGGTGCCGGTTAGTTCAACTTTCATGGTGTGAAAGTTGCTGTGAACCTAAAAGAACGATAGTCATATTCTTAAGTGTCGCTGTTGAGAGCACATAACAAATGACTGCGTACAAAACACACGGCATACGCCGAATACCTGGAAAGTAACTGACCGTTCGGTTAAGGATCCTAAAGAACTTTCATGAAACAACCGGATGACCTGCTATGTGCATTTGCTTACCTAAGAGTACGATTGTTGAAAAAGAAGGGTTTATCGATAGTCTTCCGCACAGAATCAACCAGTATTTTCTGTTAGTGTGTAGATGTATGGTTGTGTTTGCCTGGTGTCAGCTATTGGAAGGTTGCGGTAGTCAGACTAGGCGGGACCGGGGCAATCTGTTTCCTCGCAAGAGGAGAGCACCACCAAATGTATCTGACAAAGTAACTACAGGTTTTCGCTCCGTCTAACAACTATCACCGATCGTTTGGTAGCCTCTGACTATAGTGTACTAGTCACCAATGATCTTGATGTAGCAAGTGACTGCACTGAAACACTTCACATCACTAACGTACAAGGTCGAATCACGTTTGATGTTTTGACCCAGTTAGTTGACTTGGTAGACACGTGAGTCACGCGAAAATTTCATACTTCAATAACACAGGGGAACGTTTCATTTAACTGGTGGAGAAATATCACTGGGTAGATACGAACGATTTTTCGAAGGTTTCAGAAAAATGAAAGTATGACTGTTACGCTGAAATAAAATATCAGATCAAGGAGTATTCCTTAGAAGAGGCAATTGAATAAGTGGTTGTTTTCAATGGGTTAGTGAAGCAATACCGGTAGCTGTACATACCACCCAACATCTTTCAGTTCGCACTTGATTGAGAAGGGTTTCAGTGGGTTTCAAAGAACAATATGAGGAGTTTTACAAAAAATCGAATCAGATCTCGAGCAATCCTAATGATCAGACAATCAAAGAACACCGATTTAGAACTTCCGTGCAGGCTTGCAAGCAAACAATTGATCGGAATTCATCCACTTCGT